CCTACCGATTTTGTCCTTTTCCATTTGGGCATGTATTGTTCTCTCCACTCACTCCATTCCTTTCACCATCCGCCTCCTTCTCCTCCCCATCCACCTTCTGCGACAGGAGGAAATCCATGTTGCTGATTGCCTGCCGACTCTCCTCACTCTATGGAGGGTTTGTCCCAGCTCTGCGGGCTTGAGCTCTTTTATCAGTGCAACTGCCACAAAGGAAGGGTAAGAGCAGCAACCCTAAAATTAGAAATTAGCCAACTGAGGAGCAACAGCTCAGCAATCCCAAAACAATGAACATGTAGTGATCAAGCCTGAGCCCAGCTCCCCCCAAAATTAAGGTAATAAGGACTTCAGCCAAACTGTATCCATTTAGCAGCAGAGCTGAGCAGTGTTGCACAATGGCTGCGTCCAACTGCCCTCCATCATCATACCAGCACCTCTCGCAGCTTCTATTTGGAGCCAGGGCAAACGTGAGCCACTGGCTCCTTTGGCAGCTAGGCCATCACAGGTCAGATGTTTTTGGACTGGAGAAGGTGTCAAACGTCAGCCTCTGAGTTTGAACACATCAGCCATTCTGCAACGTTGAAGGTGGAGGTTAGCGTCTTAAGGCAGGTCATATTTTTCACCTCGATTGCTTGACAGTGTCCCTTTGAATATCAGAATGCAGCAGAGCAGGTACTTCTCTGGCAGAGAATGTGGGAGGTGAAACACCAGCCAAGAAAGCTGACTTACTGAGGACCCATGTTTCTGAGGCCACTGTACATTTATCTGACCGATCTTACTATCTACCAAAGAGTGCTTTTGGCAGAGGGGAGGGATGTTGGTGGGCAGAGGGAGAGGGGAGGGGCAATTCCAATGATCTCTAAAAGCAGCTACCCCCAAAATGAAGGTGTTGCAAGAAACGGCCTCTGGAAGAGCTGCTTCTGATCCACAGTAGAGTGAAACCTGGACAGTACAAGCAAACACAGCAGCCTCTGGCCCCTATGCCTGTCTGGAAGCTGTCCTCATTCCAAGAAATGAGTAATTATGGTCATTTGGGGAAAGGGGAAGCATCCACAGGTGAAGGGACATCTGTCAGACATGATGTTGTTTCCCTCCCTGCCCTCTGCTCATTTAATATGGAGAAGTTGAATTCCTTTAATCTGGCTAACAGCTATAAGTTTATGAGGTCAGAAGCACAACTTGCCATGAAGGAGTGGTGTGATCTAGTACACTGAGCACACAGGACTCTGCATACTCTCCAGCTCTGCCGCCGACTCTTGTAGCCTTGGGCTGTTTGGCTCAGTCCCCCCTCCAAGCAAAGGGGGAACAACAATACGTACCTACCTCACAGGGGTGTTGTGAGAAACCATGTTGGTAAAGCCTGTTGAAGTATCTAAGTCTACCACTGGTAGTCACGAAGAGTGTGGTGGGAGTGAGCAGCGCTGCCCTTTTGCTGGTTACAGTCTGAATCGCTCTGTGGGAGTCCCACCAGCCTCTCCTGCTTGGAGATCCTCCTTGATCTGAAGCAGAGGGCGTTGTCCGAGTGCCCTCTCCTCCATTGCATGACATTTTAAGCGGCTGTGAGGTGCAGGGTAGTGACAGACATGAAGTCCTATTTGACCAGGGATTTGCTACAACATTTTCTATATCTGTGGGGTTTGTTGGTTTGGTTTTTCCATATATTGTGCTTAGAAATAAACTTTCCACTTAGGGCTGGCGGTTCGGGGTCCCTTCTGTTGCATGGCAATGTATACAAGTCTTATTGTCTGTCTTACTGTGCAAACGATCCCGCAGCCCAGTTTCAGAGATGGGTGAGGTCTGAGCCTTTTCATAGCGGCGTAAGACTCTAAAGCCTGTCTAGAATGTTTAATATTTAAACAACACTATGAACTTGTCAATTGTATGTGTTCTGTGCAATACGAAGCATGTCATTAGCTGGCTTGATGGGCAGAGGGGCTAAAGGAAGGTCAAAACTTGTTCAAAGAGCTTCATACGTGTGCCAGCATGGAGCCGAAGGGCTGCCACCAGCAAAGCAAACTCAAGGAAGCCATTGGAAACCGTTTTCAGAACAGTTTACGCCAGAACAAGGTACTCTTGAGTTTATGAATTTCTAGGCTGCTAGTCTGAGAGAACAAGCGCAAATTTAGTGTGCAGTTTGGGGGTTTGGATTTTCTTTTTCTTTCCTCCCCAAAGTATTGATGGCACAAATAGGGATGAGGGTTCCTGGCTTCCATAGCACAGTTTTCTCATCTGCCATCCTCTTTGTGCTACTATGCAGGACTTTAAAAGGTTCAAATGCAGACAGTACATTCCCAAGACAAATACGTTGTGTACTGGGGAATTCTAGCAGACGGAAAATACGGGGCAGAGCTATGTTGCAGAAGGCATCTCTTTTTCTCCACATTTTTCCTCTAAACTTGTCTGCTGGGTTCTTGAAGAGACGTTCTCTGTGTTTTGTTGCAAAGCAGTCAGATCAGCTTCTACCGATGAGCAAAGCTTGCAGAGTTTGGCAGCTGTTTCTCCCAGTGGAGAAAACTCCAGGTCCTATCACTGTGGAGACCCCTCAGTTCTTGGGCTTTGTGGTCCTCCAGCACCATTTGGGGGTGGTCAGTGTGGAGGACGGTGTTCAGCCATCATCAGAAATCATGTGTGTGTGGTCCTGCTCATTCGTGTGATTTCTGCTAGTCCTCTGATTTTCCGTCAGTATTGACAGTTCTTTCTAGTAATGCTCTTCTGGTTATGCTCTTCAGAGGTGTTTTGCTCTGCGTCAGTTGCCAATGCTGTTCTTGCCTACTGAAACACCAATGCTGGCCTCCAGCTTCCACAGCTCTTCCGTTCTTGCCATCCAGTCTCTTGACAAATACCCACTGCCAAGTTCAGACCCTCCTCCTCTGGGCCTGCAATGGCTCAAGCACACGCATTAACCCAAAGGTTGTCAAAGAACACAGAGACCATTAAGAGTCAGCATCAATAGTCAGACTCCATAACCATCAGTCGGTCCTCTCTGACTCATATTCACTTTGCCAATCTCAGTGCCTGCTGTTAATTGGTTGCCACAAAAAACATAATGCGAGCAAAACCCCTATACCCATCTAACACTTGGTTTCCAATTTCAAATGTCAGAAGCAATGGACTGGTTTCTAAGTAATTCAGGTGGGTTCCCTGTTGTGGTTTCCCAAGCAAGGTGCTGAAGAAGTCAAAGCCTTACCTTATCGTGAAGGGTGATCCAAGGAAAGAGCAAGTCAGCAACATGGATTTGAGTGATATCAGCTGTCCACTATGTTTTTACTTGGGAAGACAGGAGAATACTACTCATGTCTGCCATGTCCCTGACCCTTCTCAAAGCCCTTGTACCTGGCATCTGTATATGGAGGACAATTCTGAAGACTTTCCAGTTCTGAAGACCATTCCCTGCTCACATGTGGTGGTCAGTCATTCAAGCATCTTCTCTTTGTTTTCTTTAAGAGAAAAAATACCATTTTGACTAAGTACTTCTACTCTTCAGGAAGCTGCACCATTAGCACTTCCAACCCACGGTACATCCACCACGACTCCTGCACATCTCCTACTGAGAAGGTATGGCCAAAAAACCTACTCCTTCCACTTACTGTTATATGCCAGTCAAGCACTTGGAGGGAAATAGTCAGCAGTGCAATTGCCTTAGAGGCTACCAGATGAGTACCCTAACCTCCCTTCCACTGTCACCTCACCTGTGACTGCTTCTTCGTGTTCCTGAGCCAACAGATGCCTCATCCCTTCTGCTGTCCCTCAACTCCAGCCCTGAAGATCTCCTGAGCAGACACAGGATTCCTCACA